CTGACTTGAGAAATTTCTGTTTGGTGCACAAATAAATTTTTCTTTCCAGCATATTTATACATGAACTGGCCTTAATTAACTACATCAAAGCTTCCATTCAGCATATATATTACTGTGTATTTTTTAACTGTAAAGATAATAGAAACCTACTCAAGAAAAATTAGGCTAACAGGGGCTTCATGCATTCCAGAGAAATCTTGCTGCTCTCTTAGTGTAGGTAAGAGCAGCAGAAAAAAAAGATGTCAATCCCTACTCTGTGTGGAAAATAAAAACATTGCTAAGGGTTTTAGTGCTCTAAGATGCTTCCAAATGTTTTATCCTGTGGCATTTCAGAATCCAATGTTTCTGCTCAGGTGGGTGCAAAATAATGTTCCAAACAAAAGTGTACAATCCTACTACAGCAAAGACGTCCCTTTAAAGATCCCAACTTACTTTCACGTTTCCTGATGTCAGCCTACATCCTGCAAAAAAGGATCCAGGGAGATCCTTTCTGGACAAAGATTTTTGTGCCAAGGCCTGGCAGGAAAGCATCACAGCTATTTTAGCAGAACCTTTTAAGGCTTTGTGCAGCAGTTCAACCTCTCAGCCATGCCAAATAGTGATGGGATAAAATTCTGTGAAAGGTGAAAGGCAGCACCTCCTGAAGCCCACAACTGGAGGCACACAGTTTAGCCAGTGCTTCTGCTCACATTGTTCTCCTGAAAAATAAAAATAATCTGATACACTGTTTTTCTAGAGTAGGAAGGCTGAAGGGTCCAGGGTGGTCAGGCCTTGAGCTGATCAAGGGCATAATTTTGTCTATTCTGTTGTTTTTAACTGCCTTCTTCCAGCTCCATCTTAAACCAGAAGCATTCGAATTTCTACTTCCTGAAGCAATTTCAAGTTGATTTTTACTGTCCTGTGATCATGTTAGTTTTATATTCTGTTTATCTGCTCTCACGATTTCCCCTTATTTAACTCTGATTAAACACTGCACTGCAGACACAGGCCTTCATGCCTCGCTTTTGACACCTTTCCATGGATTTATAGTCCACATGCCAAAGTTGTACATTCTCTCTTGTAATTTAAGCTTGGGCAGTTCCTTGAGCTAATGCCATTCTCCAATTTCGCTTTGCAAGGCTGACTTCACCCTCGCTACAAGGTAGCCAGAACCAGACAAAGATTTCAAGCCACAGCTTGAACTTCTCTCTGCAATTCATCCCTGCATTAATTGTGGGAAAGCAGGTGGGAAGGGCAGGAGATGAGGTGGTTTAGGATTTGTTAGTAAAGCTCTGCTACAAACCAGTTGAAATGTTTCTGTGCAAGTCTCTGTGCAGTTTCTGGCTGACCTGCCAACACCTCTGGTGCTTCTCTCCCTGAACACAAGGTCCAGCCTTGCAGTCAAGGGACAAGGCACTGGCTTTAGGAAAAAATCCACCTGTGCTTGACCAGAAAGGTGAAGGGGCCTAAACTGCAAAATGGAGGACAAAAATGTTCCAGCACTATCAGAGACCACCAAGCCCAATGCCAGCAACACAGTCCCTGCTGATGCCGAAGAAAACTTTTGTATCGATCTGGGCACAAATATCAACACCAGCTATTTCTTATAGGCTTGGACAAAGCTTTTTTACTTGCACTTCTCAGGCTGTTTTTCCTCCTTGGCAATAAAGTTTCAATCCACATTAGTTTGAACAAGTTCCCTAAAGGTTTTCGAAGTTTGTTGGGTCAGAAAAAGACCAAGCATATGCCACTTTTCCATGACAAAGCTCCCATGCTGCTTGTTAGGAACAAATCCAGCAGCTAACACAGCTCTGAGCCAAAGCACTGAAAAAAGCATCCAGTCAAAATAAAGTGTCTCACGGTGGATCCTACAAGCCATATGTGTTTGATTATTTGTTGCAGCAGAACGTGATAATAATGAACCAACAGGAATTTGCATTTAAATAAAGCCAGGGCAAGCCCTCCTTGGGTTGTTTTGGTACTCGGTGTAAACAAGGCGCCCACGGAGCGGCGCTCCGGCCTCAGAGAGCCCCAGGGCACCCGGCCAATCCCCACCCCTCGCCCAGGGCTGCACAACCAGCGCAGAGCTCCTGCCAAAGTCACGTTGTAGCCTTTGAGCCCAACACGGCTCCACCAGGAAAAAGCCAAACAACTTCGGGCTCCCGGGACACATCTCCCCAGCTTTGATACTAAATGCAAAGGGCACAAATACACAAACCCTACACACAGGGAACCTCTGACCCTGGGGTTTCATTGCGTGCATTGGCAGTCTCCTACATCACCAAATACTGTCCCAAATATAAACTGGAGTATTTTCCTATGAGACAGTGACTGATGGGAGGGAAGTTGTTTTCCACCCAGTTCAGGGACATCTGTGCTTACTGGGTTCCACTCCAGCACATGGTCAGAACCATTTTTCATCACTAACTCCTTTAGTGAACAGTCACCACAAGAGAGAACCCAAGGAAGGAACAGCTCTGCTGTGCCCCAGGGTCAGAGCTCCCTGGCACTGCACTGCACCAAACACAGCAAAGGAAGGGGAGAGGAGGATGCTCCAATTCCACAGAGCTCCAAGAGCTCAGGGTTACACAGGGTGAATGCACCTTTTTTCCCTTCTTAACCTTGCCAGTTTTAGAGGACGCTGAACCCTGTATTGAATGCAGTTACTCCTTCAGTGTTGAAGCACTCAGAGTCACGAACCTGCCTGAACACGATGCCAAGCACAGAGCCCTGCTCGGCTGCAAACACTCGACTCCCACGCGCTCCGGGCTGTGGTCACTTGTACAGCTCTGCAGAACCAGCTGCAGCTCATGCAGGAAGGCACAGGTGCTAGGACATTGCTACTAGGAAGGAAAAGGATTTGCAAGAAGGCAAGACAAAAAAAGAAATTAAAATATTGAGTAATGCAGAAAGTAAAAGTAGAACTACTAGAGGTGTTTATCATAAAAAGACAAAGCAGAACTTGCCTGTTGTCTGAACCCCATTTGCATCTTGTAGCATTTACTCCAAATATTAAGAAAAAACTTGTTATAAGAGGGGGACAAAAACCCAAACCAAAACAAAACAGAGACAGAATAAAGGAAGCTTTGCCACAGATGTCACTCTGAAGTCCTGTTCCACTAACAGCAGTTTTACAAACGGCTCTGAAATCACCCACACACTCGAGTCCCGTGCAGAGGAAAGCTCTGCAGCACTGTTTAACCTGCTGAATTCACACACTGCATCTTCCAACTCTGAAAACACAGAAGACACTTTTTTTGGGAGGAAAAAAAATCCAGGAAACATGATGACTCAGTATAAGCACATCTGGGGCTGTAAAGGCCGCTGCTCATTATTCCGATTAGAAAATAATATAAAGTGTGAACCTTAAGTAACATAAGGTCCCTCCACAGGAAAGTGCTGCAGAGGTGACACAGGCACTGCCCAAAACCAGGCACCAACCCCCTGCAGGATGGAAAGCTCTGAACCTACCAGGCTGACTCGTGATGCCAAGGGACAGTGATAGAATTTGACCACATCCAATTCTCTGAAATTAGTTCACATAGGCACTGATACAGATAATGTTTTCCTTTAATAGCGAAGGATTTTATAATGAAGCAGAAACATATAATATATTCCATGCAACCAACCTCATTTATTGAAAAGTCCTAATTTTATTGCCTTGTTTAGTAACATGTTTGTTCAACAAACTAATCTTTTTCATGAAGCAAAGCACAACTTTTTCTTATAAATAGTATAAATTATTTTATTTACAGAAACTTGTTACAAAACAAATAGACTATATATTTATTTTTCTTTTAAATATCCAAAGTAATTTTTCTATCCCATGACATTTGTTCATGTACTATACAGCAGCCAACACAGAGTTCAGCTGATCAGATGCTCTTGATTATGTATACAAATTATCAAACTATTCACACATTTTACACAGGAGATTGCTTTTAGAACCAGGCTCAACACCGAGCAAGATGCTTCCAAGGCCTACATTCACATTGACATTATGTAGTGCTCATTTCAAAATTATCTTTAAAACATAAAATATCTCGCACAAAAGGTAAAAATGATTATTTTCTGCTGAACAGTGAAACATTTAAGAATCTTTCTAAGCCCAATTCCCTCCTCCAGGACAGAATGAGTAAAAGACGAGAGATTCCTTGGCAAGAGAACTCTTACAGGAAGACAACTGCCTTAGAAATGTCATTTGGAAATCACTTTTTTTTTTTTTCCATGGTTTTAAGAGGTACTTACTTGGGGATTTTTCTTCATTTTAGAATACCAATTTTAAACTTTTTCTAAATTATTTGATTAATGAGTATTGCTCTCCCTCCCTTCCCAGAATGAGACAGTTAAATAAACTGCTGGTTAAAACCATATTTCAAACCCTTGGCATTATACTAAATATGACTTATCAATGGGATTGTTCCAACATAAGGTATTCAAATTAAAAGATTTTATAAAAGCTACCAGCAAAATTTGCTTTCTTTTGTCAACCCATCTAATTAATTTTAGAAATATAGATATATGCATGTGTGTATATATATATATATATACACACACACATATATATATTATATATAGGTGGAAAAAGCAAGCTCCAAAATTTCAACTGAACATTCAAGTCTTTTAAGGAGAAGCTGTCTAAACAGTCCAAGCTTAAAACTAGTTATATCAGGCACTTTCAGTTTTTCCGTTAGTTTTAAACCACATGAGACCCACACGGATGCGCACGCACACACACGCACACACACGCACACGAACACTAAAAAAGGAGAAGCAGGGTGTCACTTCACTAAATGGATCTTGTGGGAGTCAGGCAACTGGGAAGCAATGCCACATCCACCACGTGGGCTCCAGGCTCCCAGGAAAGGGACCTGGCCATCCTTGGCGTGGATCCACCCACTCCCGAGACAGGGAAAAGGGACACAGCTTTCACAAAACGGAGGCATCCCTTACATTGCAAAGTAGGCATGTTAACTATTGGCTTGGCAGTGAACCACTTCAAATTATAAAAAGGTATTTGCTTTTTTTTTTTTTTAATTAATTAATAAATAAATACTAGATGATCTCAATTGTACCAAAACTGGATATAAGAAAAAAAGACCTGTGCAAAAATACATATTTAAATATGTACAATCAATTAACAAAATATGTCTTCTGAAATAGGGATACTTCAATATTTATAATAGAACAAGAAATTCCAAAATAAAGATACAAAAGTATGTTTTTTTTCTTGTATAATTCTTTGTTCATCATTGCAGCAATTTTTTAGGTTAAGAAAACTGCAGGAGTCATAACGAGAAGTTGGAAAGACTATAAAAACTGTATCTCTTAAATTAATACCAAAATCTGTCTAGAAACAACCCAGCCACTGCAAATTCAATTTTGCAAGGAAAATTAATTTTAAGCTTCCTTAATTATTTACAGTAAGAACTATGTGACAATAAAAGCTTCAGGAACAATGTTCTGCTTCTAACCAAGATCTAAAACATAATATTTAGAGCAGGTCTAGGGCAGGCAGGATTTATGCTCGGACTCTTTGCTCCAGTGGCTCAAGCCCACGTGGTGCAGGTGGCTGCACACACAGGCTCTGGAGGAGCAGCCATCAGGAATTCACTTTGTCCACATCTGCATGCTACTGAAGGAGCACAGATTTACCATTTTGCTTTCAGATCAAGAGAACCTTAAAAACCAGAGGACAGTTCAATCACAAACTCGCCAGCATCCAAACTTGCCGAATTTTTGTTTCCTTTACCTTTGTTTCTACCAAGAGTCAAATTGCACTTGTGACTGATGCTATCCTGAAGTGGAAGCTCTGCCCCAGGGACTCCAGAGCACGGATTTCTCTCCAAACGTGCAGGATTTATTACACTTGGATTTCTTTCTGTGGCATTTCGCTTTGGTTCCTTTCACATTAAACCAATCGCAGCTCTAACAATCCTTTCAACAGGGCGTCCTATTAAATACGAATCCTTTTGTTCCTGAAAAGTTGTCTACTTTTTTTTTAAGTTTGCATAATAAGAGTCTCTAGTACATTGCTTTCTCAGTGTGATCTTTTGTATCAATTCAAAGCTAAAGTGTCTGCATAGAGGCTTCTTGTTGTTTTGCTGTATAACAATGATTTCATAGGAAGTTCAGGAGAAACTGAAAGCATCGTTAGGTAAACAACTAAGCAACTGCTACTCAGAGTGGCTTTGGATTCCCTGATGTACTTACTACTTGCCACCAGAATGGGGAGAAGGCTGGGCTACATGAACAGTTGGACAGGCTCAGATTGTCTCTTCTCAGCAATAGCTGATGCCCCTTTAAGGCAGAAAATAAAAATCTTCTTTGTTAGGATTTCATCTTCCTTTGCTTTGCCCCCTTAATAAAAGTTTAGTCAGTTTTGAGCCTTTACCTGTTTAAAAACTTAAAACATCCAAATGAGTCAAACCATAATACAATGAGCCCTTTGGCTGAATTAACTTTTGAGGTGTTTTGAAGCAAGACAAAATACTTCCTAAAAATTGGCTGGATTATACAAAACTCTAAAGCCCCCCATGCTCATAAAGCCTGGGATGACTGTGATGCACAGACCAGTGCTTCACAGTGAACTCTGCTGTCAAATTGGCATTTATTCCAGAATTTTGACTAAAAAAAAAAAAATCTTACCAAGTGGTAGGAGGCATCACACATCAATAATTTTGTTACACAAACAATGCAGAAAGAAACTGACTTTTATGGTTATTAGAAAATATTTAAATATTTTAAAAATTCAGTTTTAAAAGGGCTAATTTTATCAGCTGGAAGAGGAAGACAAATCCAGCCTAATTTCATCAATACAGGTATTTAAAAAAAAAAAAAAACAACAAAGGCCTGTGGTATACAGTATAGGTCAATAAATACGTTCTTTGGGAATAGAGTTTTAGAGGTTATTTGCCTTTGTCTGTTTGATATTTTTGGAATTTTTAAGGAACAAAATTAACTTTTCTTCCACAATAAAATCTCATTCAAAAGAATAGAAAATAGGTTTTGTATCACACAAATACGGCATTTTTATACTTGTTTTCTGAGCAGTGGCCTCAAACAAGTTTTTCTGGTTTTGTTGGGTTTGTTTTGTTTTAAACTCCTGATAGCTTCTTATCCCAAATTACCTGCAAAAGGCTGGGCAAAACAGACTATTTTTTGAATTGTGCTATTTTTTAATATTCCTTTAAAGGAACGTTGCTATAAAAACACTAAAGCCATATTCCCTTCTTGAGGGCTTCTTTCCATTGTGCCTCACACATTTTTCCCCTTATCATGGGGTCCTCTCCATTGAGGGTGTCTGTCTGGTTAGCTATCACCTACAAAAGACACCATCAGTATAAAAATAAGTCCACAGTAATGTTTATTTCCCCCCAGAACACATTCGTTTGCCCAGCCAGACTATGTCAAATAGTGGCAAGATGATGTACTCCTGTAAGGAAAATCTCACAGATTTGTAGCAAACAGTCCAGACCACTGTTAACACTGATAAGAGCAATTATGTGGCTGAACTTCATCCAGTGTCCATTTCTAGAATATTCACTGCTACAGACATGGCTTCAGGGAAATTCCTTGTTTAAGTGACAGTCCAGTAGATTTCCACACCTGAGGACCATGGGAAGTTGGGAAAACTCAAGGCATCTTGGAGTCCAGAAATCCAGATGGAGGTTTTGCTTGTAGTGAAAACTGTCCAGTTTGTTTCTCACCATGGTGCCTTCAGCTATCAGGGACGAGCCTTCGGCTTGGGGGCAAGAAAAGAGACAATGATCAGTGAGCCAGGCCCTCAGAGGCACTGAAAACAAACATTTTGTGGCTAACAAGGGCTTATCTGGGGGGGAATCTCAGACACAAAGCAACTTTGATAACACGAGGTTGGCCTCTCTGAGACTCGAAAATCCTCAACTAAACTCTTCAAAGTTATAACGGCATGCTTTCCCTCTTAGTACACTCAAATTATATTTTTCTTTTACTTATAATGCATAGTTGAAATAGTAATTATTAGGTTAGTCCAAAAATAAATTCAGCCATCCGAAGGCTTTTTTTTTGGTTAAGTAAACACACATAAAGGTGAAAATCTTCCTCTGGGGCTGAAACTGAAAGTTAAGAAACTACTCTCAAAAAGTTCTTACTGACCTCCTGGCTCTCTAGCTACAGAGATTTCAGTTTTTAGCAGCAGAGAAAACAAAGTTTCTTGGATTTTTCATCCTGAATGCACTACTCTTCCAGTGAGATTTGTTTTAAAAAAAAATCAAAACCCCAAACTAATTTTTAAAATGGGATCTTACATACTCCTGAGATCTGCTTCTTTTATAGCATATCTGTTTGCCTTACCAACTAAAAAGGCTTATTATCTGATTTATTATATTTAATCTCATTATTACTAAGAAGTTAGTCAATGACACCTTGGGATAATAGGCTTATATTATCACAGTATCACAGTTCTGTTATCAGCATCATTATGTTCCACTTTGTAGAATGACACAGAAACAAGGAGTCAGGTTGAGGCACACAGCTCAGTTCCACAGCAGGCTGGCAAGATTCACTTTTAATATTACGGTTTAAAAAGAAGAGGAATTAATTTTATCTGAAAGCAATTCACAGGCTACAGCATATAAGGAATTTGAAATATCCCATTTAAGATTTCTTTCCTAAAGTGCAGCTTTTTAATTTAGAACGTTTATAAAAGTCTTGCATAAATGTACCCTTAGAACACTCAAAATGAGTACTGGACAAAGAGAAGAACCACCTTTTACTCGAGCAGGATCTGGAACTGGCTATCTATTTAACACTTAGAGAACACATGTATTATAAGCATGTGAGGAGGCATTTCATGCTGGCTTAGTTTGAGACAAGGTTTCCTACCTGATGAAACAGAGAATTGTTCATCAGTCCCTGCGTCCCTGGGATTGCACCAGTGTGTTTTGCATGAACATTGTTCACCGATGTCAATTTGGCAACTTTGTTTGATTTGCTGCTGCTGCTGTTGATGCTGCTTGAACCAGGTGAGCACTTTCTTTTCTTTCCTATTAATTTGTCAAGGGAAGTGTGTGAATGTGAAAAACTGCTGTGTGAATTTACAGTCAGCTCACTAGACTGATGAACAAATGGCCCTAAGGAGAGCGTGGAGTCGCTGCTGTTCATCATCACACTCATTCTCTTTATGGATTCTGCAGGGCTCCCGGTTGGAGGACCCCTCCCTGATTGGTCATGTTTGAGGCTAACAGAGTTAGCTTTGCTAGTCATACAGTTGAGGCCAACGCTGTGGGACGAAGCTGTCACTGAGGGATGATAGGAGGTCCCAGAGTTTCCAGAGTTAACCACACAGTTTTTTCTAAAGGACTCTGTGGAATGAGAAGGTGCGAGCAGTGCGGAACTGTTTTTACGCTTCTTTCCTGAGCCGCCGCTGCTACTGACGCTGCCGGTGCTGTTACAGGTGCCACTGCCAGCAGAAGATTCCTTAGGTTTAAAAGATTTGCTGGATTTCATTTTCTGAGGTTTGCTGGGCATAGGTGAAGGTACAGAGGAAAGCACTGTAGGTGTTGAAGGGGAAGAAGACACTTGTCTTGATTGCATACTGCAGACAGGATCCACTGCACCCAGAGCAGCGGGGTTGGCATTGAGTGTCGTCCCGTGGGATGGTACCGATTTGTTGTTCAGAGACACACAGGAAGGAGAGACCAACGCTGGCGATGCCATAACCGTGGTGGGTAAGAGGAACCCTGCTGCACTGACACCGTGCTGAGGAGCAGGCATCAGGTTTGTCCGATGTGGGGCACGGACTGATGCTGTGTTACTGGATGCTGGGGGAATTTTCCTGCAGGTGAACAGAAAAACAAAGATAAAACCCCACATAGCCACCATTCTTCAGACTAATAGTCTAATAATAGTACCTTAAAATGTTTGCATCTTGAGGTTGATTAATGCCTCTGAAAGATTTTATTAAACTGATAGTTAATTGTTGCAAAAAATGTAAAGCACAGACCATCAACCTTCAGTCTGAACACAAGATGACTGTTCTTTAACTAGAATCACACGGTTCCACGTACATTTACAAACACCAAATTTACATTTACATCTTTCACTTCTACTCACTTCCACATCTGTGAATTAAGATGCTTCTCCAACATGTAGTCAAGTGCACATCGAATATGGTTCCACCGCTTGTCGAACACGTAATAACCTCTTCCAATTTGCTGACTACCAAATGTGCAAAACTGAAAAGACATGATTTTTATTGGTGTTTTCTACTTTCAATAACAACTCTCTGAATAACAATCTTTTAATTGTAGATATGCTTTTAGATGTTTAAGTAGAGGATAAAAAAAATAGAAATTAGAATTTTTATATCTATGGCCCAAGAACTACTTAAATTTTTTGGCCTTGGTATATTGAGACAATTTTCTTGTCTTCTGATATTCCCATATGTAACAGAAGTCAAATTAGAACTCCTCTGATTAAACAGAGAAGGCTAGCAGTATGTCTGTTTATGTATAAACATTATACATACACAGATATTTATGTAACATCTATTTCTGAGGACCTACCAGCTATCAGCTAGAAGTCTGTTTTTTTAAAAAAAGGATATAATTTGACATCCAGGCTGGATAATAAATTTGCTAGCTATACTAACTTTTGTCAAAATTTAAATATTAACATACCTTACTGCTAACCTTTAAGGTGATGTTGGTAACTTGAGTAAAAAATGTGTGTGGGTGTGGAGGAGGAGTCCAATAAGAAAACTGCACCAAAAAGACACTGTTTACATGTCCTTATTCCAAAACCACAGCCCTTTAGAGCAGTTACCAATTTCACCCTTAGTATTCTGGCATTTTGGTTTCATTTGGATTGGGGAAGTCAGCTATGAATACATTTTTTTAGCATGTTTATTTTGCAACTAGTTAAACCTTCTCTGCCTACTAGGCCACAAAATAATTTTCTCAAAATATAGGGAGGAGAAAAGAAAAAGCGGAAAAAAAAAAAAAAACAAACCAAAATCACATACCCCACAGAAAACCACCTGTAAAACCCCAAAGTAACTTGTTTACACAATTAGAGCCAGAGAGAGACTGAGGTAACTTTGCAAACGTACAGCGGCTGGTTGAGGATGATGACCTGAATAATGACAATCCAGTTTTTCAACAGGCTCTTCTTTTTCATCACATTCTCCCTCATCACTGGATAACCGAGATGCTGGCTCAGCTGCAGGCAAGGGAGGGTGTGGGGACTCGTGGACAGAAGGAGACTCACTGGGGGCATTTCCACTGTGCTGGGCTGGACAGCCTGGAGGCCTGGGCAAGGCAAGCAGTAACCAGGTGTTATTGAACCAAGCCCAGTCAAAAATCCCACCCTTTAAGTGCTTACTGCTACTGAGAGAAAGAAATCTACATTAACAGATCCCTGGTGTTGTCCACAGTTTTGTAACCTGCCAAGGGGCAGGACAGAGTATGGTGGCACCCCTGGAAAAGCAGCGTTGCCCAGTTGTTGCTCAACCACTTCCATTGATTCTAAGTCAGTTTTTACTACTGCAAACACCAACCCCTCCTCGGCAGGAGTTACCCTCAGCAGGTAATTGCTAATTGCAGACAGGCACCAGGCCTGGAGCAAACACACTGCCCTGTCCAACAGATCCATATCATTCCCTCAAAATCCATCCCAGCAAGCTCCCAATATTCATTTCACACCACTGCATCTGCAGATTTTCCTTACCTTGGAAGACTGGGGGGGTGAGGTTTGGGTTTATTAGGTAATAAAGGCTTTGATTCTGTAAGAGTAACTCCATGAGAATTTTGGTGCAGCTCCTGGGAAGTTTTAGTAGGCGAGGGATGTGGTTCCCTGAGAGGGGGCATCTGCTGATGATGATCCGAATGTCGAAGAAGTTCCTTTTCCCTGGTTTTGCTTTTGTGCTCAGCTAATAACACATCAAATCGTTTTCTTCGACCCTGTACAGCCCTCCGCTGGGTTAAGGAATGTGTCTGCAGAACCAGGAATAAATCATTAATCTCAGGCTATGACATTTGGGGAAGTCAAACACTCAAAATGTGTGTCTAGAGCTCCAAAACAGAAAATTATCACAGTCCTGGTTTACTAAACAAATGGAAATATGGCTTAGAAAACAAACTTTTAAAATTGTTTGGTGGGTAATTATATCCTTGTCCGATACAGAGTAACAAAACCACCAATTTGGTAAAAGGCTTCTTTCAAATTTCTTTTTAAAAAACAAACTGCCAAATTTTTAATAAGGTTAAGACTAAACCGAAAACCTGTTTTTACACTGATATTTAAATTGCCAACTCCTGCAAAACCAAAGAGAAAATATTTACTTTCACTTCAAAAAATATTCAACAATATAATGTTTAAAATCAGACTTCTAATGGGAGACCTGAAAAATATTTATAGAAGTACTGTGCTTCCTTCTGTAAACTAATATATTCCTTGAAAACCAAAGTAATCAAATAGATATTGAGGAATTCAAAACAACTAACAGAATCCAGAGTCAGTCAGGACTCAAAGTTCTTTGAGTGCCCTGAACACTACACAGTAAGATGTGTATGTGTATAAATGGCACCAATTCTAAGTAAGTAAATGGAAGCTATTTTTCCGAATTGTTAAAATCACACACAATACCTTTTTCATATGGCACAAAGGGTTTGATTTGGTTCTTTTTAGTAGGTAAAAGTTTTTATCACATAATTCAGACACAAATAGCAATTCCAAAAATTATTTCATGAGTGATATATTCTAAAGCATTGCTGAAAAATGTTTTTACTCTTTCACTTTTGATTTGCCCATTTCTCTTGTAAAATCTTGCAGCTTTTCCCTCCTCTATTAGCAAAACAATTTCCTCCCCTCTGTAATTCCAAAAGGGCAATGTGTTCAAGTTCAGTTCCTCTGGGTCATTACTGCCAGCTTCATTTACCTTTGTTCTGTAGGTGGTTTATTTACCAGACGTTTTCCAAACTGAGGGTAGAGCTGCTTTGCCAGAAAGCAGCAAAATGTTACACAAGTGCAGGGGATCTGGATTCTTGGTTCCTTGGGAGCAAGTGACAGCTCTCTGTCCCCCAGGGTTTGGGAGCCAGAGGATACAATTTGTCTGACTGAAAGTTTTTATGATTGTTTAATTTAGAGTTTGACCTCTAGGTGTGCTCCATGGCTCTTTCAGGAGCTGGTTGTAGCAGTTCATCCAGCAGAATTAGCATTTACACAAATTCCTATCAAGAACCTGCTGCAGACTCTGCTGGGGGGAGAGGAAAGGGTGTGAGAAGGGAAGGGCTTGAATTATTTAAATCCTTCATAAGCAATATTTTCAATGCTTATGAGGAATTTGAAAATTCATGATCTACAACTTAAAGGTTACCCCCCAAAGAGAGGAACATGCTGGCCTTCTGCTACCTACATGTGGAATAATACAGTTTGTCCCATGCCAACATCCATGTTTAAAGGGTTTATACAAAAACACAAATCTCCAGGTTACTTTGAGAAATACTTTCTGAAAAAATAATTAACTGAACTTCAGAAACAATTTCTTCTTGGTTCTGGGCAACATATTTTGAGAGGTACCACTTACTGTGGTAATTACCAACAACAAAAATGTGCAGTTCTCCATTTTCTATCATGTTCCTCAAGAATTTGAATAAAAACTTCAGATAATCTTATCCTGATTCAGATATCCTACCTTGCATGTTAAAGACCTAGTACAAGGTTTCCTGGTTTCCACATCAATGACACCACAGTATATATCAGGATCAAATTCTCTCTCTGTCAAAGACACAGTATTGAAAAGTTATCAAAAGACATTTTGAAATACCAACATTTAGTCTCATCACAAAAAATTAATCATATTGGAAACTTCAAATATGACACAAGCAAACGTACAGATAAAAATGCACAAGAAAATTGTACAAATGAATTTTTCTACACTCTCAGCAAGCTTATGGTGTGCTGAAATACAGATCTCAAGTCTACAAACACCTGTAAGTGACCTCAAAGGTGGATTTGATGCTGTCTGTTAGGAGTAGAGATCACCATTATGGATTGTGACAAACAAATGGTGGGTTTTTGCTTGTTGGCTTTGGTGTCAAGAACTTTTATACCATTCTACTAACACTCAAAATAATTATGTTAAAAGGTGTGAAGAGCAGACTGGGATTCCATTTTTGAGTTTATGAGGTGCTAGTTGTTCTGTTTTCTGTGTACATTTGGACCTTCCATATAGAAAGAAGGAAATTAGAATCTTTAGAGATAGAAGAGTGTAATTTTAAAACTGTCAGAGCTGACAGGCATTTGAGATCTGTACAGGTTTCTGAAAGGAAAAGCTAATTTCAAGGTATTTGCATCCCTAAAGTGTATGTCAAATTCAAATTATAGACTTAAATTATAATATTTTAAAACTGTTACTATAAGTTACAGTATTACAAGAGTTTTAATTTACTTCTGGAACTTATTTCCATATATATATTTCTACTAAGAAGAATATAGCTAATAATAATTTTTTAAAAATTACCTGACAATCTTTTATGCAAAAATTTCCTATTATTCGTATTTTCTTCAGGTTTCTTTTCCAAAAATGGAGGCACAGAGAGAAGACCTTTACCATTCAGTATCTGTCCAGGGGAAGGCAAGGGTGGCTTTGGTATTGAGGGACAATTAAGGCCAGTCTTTATTGAGGAACTCACAGTAGTAGAACAAGTTGGACCAACAGCAGCTTTCAGTTGGGCACCATCTATCTTTGGATGAATCTTTTCCACTTTGACAGATGGAGTCATACTGTTATTTATGAAAAACAAAGAGAGAAAAATGGGAAAAAAATAGCTAAAATATGTTATTATTCAACAATACTCTGATCTATTCCCAATATAAATGCAGACCTTCCTATTATCTTTTCAATTTTCACCTTTTTTTGATACCCATAATTGTCCAGGGATTTCAGAAACCATTACTTGCATTCATGGACAGNAAAAAAAAAAAAACAACAAAGGCCTGTGGTATACAGTATAGGTCAATAAATACGTTCTTTGGGAATAGAGTTTTAGAGGTTATTTGCCTTTGTCTGTTTGATATTTTTGGAATTTTTAAGGAACAAAATTAACTTTTCTTCCACAATAAAATCTCATTCAAAAGAATAGAAAATAGGTTTTGTATCACACAAATACGGCATTTTTATACTTGTTTTCTGAGCAGTGGCCTCAAACAAGTTTTTCTGGTTTTGTTGGGTTTGTTTTGTTTTAAACTCCTGATAGCTTCTTATCCCAAATTACCTGCAAAAGGCTGGGCAAAACAGACTATTTTTTGAATTGTGCTATTTTTTAATATTCCTTTAAAGGAACGTTGCTATAAAAACACTAAAGCCATATTCCCTTCTTGAGGGCTTCTTTCCATTGTGCCTCACACATTTTTCCCCTTATCATGGGGTCCTCTCCATTGAGGGTGTCTGTCTGGTTAGCTATCACCTACAAAAGACACCATCAGTATAAAAATAAGTCCACAGTAATGTTTATTTCCCCCCAGAACACATTCGTTTGCCCAGCCAGACTATGTCAAATAGTGGCAAGATGATGTACTCCTGTAAGGAAAATCTCACAGATTTGTAGCAAACAGTCCAGACCACTGTTAACACTGATAAGAGCAATTATGTGGCTGAACTTCATCCAGTGTCCATTTCTAGAATATTCACTGCTACAGACATGGCTTCAGGGAAATTCCTTGTTTAAGTGACAGTCCAGTAGATTTCCACACCTGAGGACCATGGGAAGTTGGGAAAACTCAAGGCATCTTGGAGTCCAGAAATCCAGATGGAGGTTTTGCTTGTAGTGAAAACTGTCCAGTTTGTTTCTCACCATGGTGCCTTCAGCTATCAGGGACGAGCCTTCGGCTTGGGGGCAAGAAAAGAGACAATGATCAGTGAGCCAGGCCCTCAGAGGCACTGAAAACAAACATTTTGTGGCTAACAAGGGCTTATCTGGGGGGGAATCTCAGACACAAAGCAACTTTGATAACACGAGGTTGGCCTCTCTGAGACTCGAAAATCCTCAACTAAACTCTTCAAAGTTATAACGGCATGCTTTCCCTCTTAGTACACTCAAATTATATTTTTCTTTTACTTATAATGCATAGTTGAAATAGTAATTATTAGGTTAGTCCAAAAATAAATTCAGCCATCCGAAGGCTTTTTTTTTGGTTAAGTAAACACACATAAAGGTGAAAATCTTCCTCTGGGGCTGAAACTGAAAGTTAAGAAACTACTCTCAAAAAGTTCTTACTGACCTCCTGGCTCTCTAGCTACAGAGATTTCAGTTTTTAGCAGCAGAGAAAACAAAGTTTCTTGGATTTTTCATCCTGAATGCACTACTCTTCCAGTGAGATTTGTTTTAAAAAAAAATCAAAACCCCAAACTAATTTTTAAAATGGGATCTTACATACTCCTGAGATCTGCTTCTTTTATAGCATATCTGTTTGCCTTACCAACTAAAAAGGCTTATTATCTGATTTATTATATTTAATCTCATTATTACTAAGAAGTTAGTCAATGACACCTTGGGATAATAGGCTTATATTATCACAGTATCACAGTTCTGTTATCAGCATCATTATGTTCCACTTTGTAGAATGACACAGAAACAAGGAGTCAGGCTGAGGCACACAGCTCAGTTCCACAGCAGGCTGGCAAGATTCACTTTTAATATTACGGTTTAAAAAGAAGAGGAATTAATTTTATCTGAAAGCAATTCACAGGCTACAGCATATAAGGAATTTGAAATATCCCATTTAAGATTTCTTTCCTAAAGTGCAGCTTTTTAATTTAGAACGTTTATAAAAGTCTTGCATAAATGTACCCTTAGAACACTCAAAATGAGTACTGGACAAAGAGAAGAACCACCTTTTACTTGAGCAGGATCTGGAACTGGCTATCTATTTAACACTTAGAGAACACATGTATTATAAGCATGTGAGGAGGCATTTCATGCTGGCTTAGTTTGAGACAAGGTTTCCTACCTGATGAAACAGAGAATTGTTCATCAGTCCCTGCGTCCCTGGGATTGCACCAGTGTGTTTTGCATGAACATTGTTCACCGATGTCAATTTGGCAACTTTGTTTGATTTGCTGCTGCTGCTGTTGATGCTGCTTGAACCAGGTGAGCACTTTCTTTTCTTTCCTATTAATTTGTCAAGGGAAGTGTGTGAATGTGAAAAACTGCTGTGTGAATTTACAGTCAGCTCACTAGACTGATGAACAAATGGCCCTAAGGAGAGCGTGGAGTCGCTGCTGTTCATCATCACACTCATTCTCTTTATGGATTCTGCAGGGCTCCCGGTTGGAGGACCCCTCCCTGATTGGTCATGTTTGAGGCTAACAGAGTTAGCTTTGCTAGTCATACAGTTGAGGCCAACGCTGTGGGACGAAGCTGTCACTGAGGGATGATAGGAGGTCCCAGAGTTTCCAGAGTTAACCACACAGTTTTTTCTAAAGGACTCTGTGGAATGAGAAGGTGCGAGCAGTGCGGAACTGTTTTTACGCTTCTTTCCTGAGCCGCCGCTGCTACTGACGCTGCCGGTGCTGTTACAGGTGCCACTGCCAGCAGAAGATTCCTTAGGTTTAAAAGATTTGCTGGATTTCATTTTCTGAGGTTTGCTGGGCATAGGTGAAGGTACAGAGGAAAGCACTGTAGGTGTTGAAGGGGAAGAAGACACTTGTCTTGATTGCATACTGCAGACAGGATCCACTGCACCCAGAGCAGCGGGGTTGGCATTGAGTGTCGTCCCGTGGGATGGTACCGATTTGTTGTTCAGAGACACACAGGAAGGAGAGACCAACGCTGGCGATGCCATAACCGTGGTGGGTAAGAGGAACCCTGCTGCACTGACACCGTGCTGAGGAGCAGGCATCAGGTTTGTCCGATGTGGGGCACGGACTGATGCTGTGTTACTGGATGCTGGGGGAATTTTCCTGCAGGTGAACAGAAAAACAAAGATAAAACCCCACATAGCCACCATTCTTCAGACTAATAGTCTAATAATAGTACCTTAAAATGTTTGCATCTTGAGGTTGATTAATGCCTCTGAAAGATTTTATTAAACTCATAGTTAATTGTTGCAAAAAATGTAAAGCACAGACCATCAACCTTCAGTCTGAACACAAGATGACTGTTCTTTAACTAGAATCACACGGTTCCACGTACATTTACAAACACCAAATTTACATTTACATCTTTCACTTCTACTCACTTCCACATCTGTGAATTAAGATGCTTCTCCAACATGTAGTCAAGTGCACATCGAATATGGTTCCACCGCTTGTCGAACACGTAATAACCTCTTCCAATTTGCTGACTACCAAATGTGCAAAACTGAAAAGACATGATTTTTATTGGTGTTTTCTACTTTCAATAACAACTCTCTGAATAACAATCTTTTAATTGTAGATATGCTTTTAGATGTTTAAGTAGAGGATAAAAAAAATAGAAATTAGAATTTTTATATCTATGGCCCAAGAACTACTTAAATTTTTTGGCCTTGGTATATTGAGACAATTTTCTTGTCTTCTGATATTCCCATATGTAACAGAAGTCAAATTAGAACTCCTCTGATTAAACAGAGAAGGCTAGCAGTATGTCTGTTTATGTATAAACATTATACATACACAGATATTTATGTAACATCTATTTCTGAGGACCTATCAGCTATCAGCTAGAAGTCTGTTTTTTTAAAAAAAGGATATAATTTGACATCCAGGCTGGATAATAAATTTGCTAGCTATACTAACTTTTGTCAAAATTTAAATATTAACATACCTTACTGCTAACCTTTAAGGTGATGTTGGTAACTTGAGTAAAAAATGTGTGTGGGTGTGGAGGAGGAGTCCAATAAGAAAACTGCACCAAAAAGACACTGTTTACATGTCCTTATTCCAAAACCACAGCCCTTTAGAGCAGTTACCAATTTCACCCTTAGTATTCTGGCATTTTGGTTTCATTTGGATTGGGGAAGTCAGCTATGAATACATTTTTTTAGCATGTTTATTTTGCAACTAGTTAAACCTTCTCTGCCTACTAGGCCACAAAATAATTTTCTCAAAATATAGGGAGGAGAAAAGAAAAAGCGGAAAAAAAAAAAAAAACAAACCAAAATCACATACCCCACAGAAAACCACCTGTAAAACCCCAAAGTAACTTGTTTACACAATTAGAGCCAGAGAGAGACTGAGGTAACTTTGCAAACGTACAGCGGCTGGTTGAGGATGATGACCTGAATAATGACAATCCAGTTTTTCAACAGGCTCTTCTTTTTCATCACATTCTCCCTCATCACTGGATAACCGAGATGCTGGCTCAGCTGCAGGCAAGGGAGGGTGTGGGGACTCGTGGACAGAAGGAGACTCACTGGGGGCATTTCCACTGTGCTGGGCTGGACAGCCTGGAGGCCTGGGCAAGGCAAGCAGTAACCAGGTGTTATTGAACCAAGCCCAGTCAAAAATCCCACCCTTTAAGTGCTTACTGCTACTGAGAGAAAGAAATCTACATTAACAGATCCCTGGTGTTGTCCACAGTTTTGTAACCTGCCAAGGGGCAGGACAGAGTATGGTGGCACCCCTGGAAAAGCAGCGTTGCCCAGTTGTTGCTCAACCACTTCCATTGATTCTAAGTCAGTTTTTACTACTGCAAACACCAACCCCTCCTCGGCAGAAGTTACCCTCAGCAGGTAATTGCTAATTGCAGACAGGCACCAGGCCTGGAGCAAACACACTGCCCTGTCCAACAGATCCATATCATTCCCTCAAAATCCATCTCAGCAAGCTCCCAATATTCATTTCACACCACTGCATCTGCAGATTTTCCTTACCTTGGAAGACTGGGGGGGTGAGGTTTGGGTTTATTAGGTAATAAAGGCTTTGATTCTGTAAGAGTAACTCC